GCGTTTGTACCCAGAACAAACGCACCTGACACAGGCAAGGTTACAGACTGTCAGATAAATACCTGATGCGCCGTGAGATGTGAGCAACTGGTCTCTTGAAGTTCGACGATCTGTCCTGAAAACTACTGGGCCTGGAGGTCATCCTTCTAAGCAGCACCCTAAAACTTAGAGCTGACAGACAGAGAGAGAGCTCGACCTACTCGCCAAATAACCTAGGACAGATAGTCCTCAGAGCAGGGCAAAAAGAATCAGGTCAGTGCATGTCCATGAATGCAACAGCAGGACTTTGCGATGGTTCTGGCAGAGAATGGAAGACTGCTATGGGTCACCTGAAGTATAGAAGAAGCACTTTTAAAGAAAATAGCAAACTTGGCCCGAAATGACAAACAAAGACAATCAGAAGCTGAGAGAGCTCAGGAGACCTACTCCTAGAGATAGAAGCAGCAAAGACTAGTGAACCTCTGCAGGTCTTTTATACTTAGAACACAGCACGTGGACGTAGAGCCCATAAATCGAGAAGCTCCCTTTCAACCTGCAAGAAAGGTGGGTCTCTCAAGCATCCAGATAACAAGAAAAGACTATCGAGTTTGCATTTCACCGTTTGTCTTCCTTGCTGAATTCGGTGTAGACCAAGCTAAGGCACGTAATGACCCAAGCTTCGCCTTCCTGAACAAGAGAGTTGCAATAGCTCCCCAAGGACAGTAGAAGCAGCCGCCAGTACCACTACAAAGAAGCAGAGCAACAGTGTCTGTGCGGAAGACAGAAGTCCCGCCTGAGGCTGCAGCCAATTCAGGAAGACAACACAATACGCAAGGAAGTTGAAGATCCTGACAAAACAGTGCCCATATACACCAACAAGCCACCATCCACTAAGAAAATGTCGCAGTTTTCAGAGTAAGACATTAGAGGAGCGCAAGGCTTACCTATAAGACAATCACATTTGTTTCAGATGCTGCGCCTCATGCAACATCTTGCAAAAAGACTGTAAGAGAGAAATACGGTGCACAGATGCAACAATGGACCGACATCTGTCAGCACTGCAACCCAGGGACCATCCACCATGGAGATCAGAAGTTCCAGCAACTCAAGGAGATCATGGTGGGGAGCAAAAAGAAAGTGCAATCACCAGCGATAACTTCAAAGTGGCACTGAGATCTGTACAGAACCAGGGACTCTCTGAGAATCAATGCTCCAAGATATGCTTAGTACTCAAAGTGTTTATCCCAACGGTCTCAGAGAAAAGGCAGTGAAGATGTATACAGTCCTAGACGAACAAAGCAACAGCCTGTCTCTAGCAAAGACAGAGTTCTTCGACCTCTTCGGTGACAAAGGAAGTCCAACTCCATACACCTTGAGAAGACATGTTCTGGAGTTATAGAGACTGCAGGGAGAAGAGCAAACAACTACACCACGAGTCATTAGATGGAAAGACGCAGCTGACTCTTCCTACCCTCATAGAATGTGACATGATGACACAGGATGACAGGTCAGAGATTCCCACACCTGAAGTGGCACATCACTACCCTCATCTCATTGCGATAGCAGGACAAGATCCCAACACTCAACCCAGATGCTGCAAATCGTCGCTTCTACTAGGAAAGAAGACATACTGAGAGGTGCACAAGGTCAGAGAACAATACAATGGTCCGCACAATGCACCATTTGCTCAACGTCTTGAATCCCTTGGGATGGGTTATCGTTGGAAATGTATGTCTGGACGGACTGTCACAAACCCACAAAGGTTGAAAATGTCTACAGAACAAATCTGCTGCAGAACGGTCGCACATCATGTCTTTGCCCATGTAATAACTCAGCATTCAGATTAAAGAGAAACTATCTAACCAACACATCCCCAGAACATCCAGAGGTTCCTGGAAGATACAGCCTCAGCTGAAGATTCTTGATCAGCTAGGCCCACAAAGTGTTTGAGAGAACATCAAGATGATGTACAAACTAGCACCATCTGTTGAAGATAACCTCTTCCTTGAGATCATGGACAGAGAAGTCTTCAAAGACATAAAGCAGGCAGTTGGTAGCCCCCACTAACCATTCCGTACAACCACGGGCATCGTCTTCCCAACAACAGAGTGCAAGCAGAGAAACGCCTGCGCTATTGCAGCGCACTCTTGAAAGAAAGCCAGACATGAAAGAACACTTCCAAGAATTCATGCGGGGAAAATCTTTGACAAGATCAAGCTGAAAAAGCACCAGCACTGCATGAAAAACAAGAACGCTACGGTACTTGCCAATATTCGGAGTGTTACCATCCTCAAAAACCAGGTCAGATACGTGTAGGTATTTGATTCCAGTGCAAAGCATGAAGGTATTTCCCTTAATGATGTACTTCTCAGCGGTACAGAACCTGAACAACACACTTGCTTGGAGTCCTTATCAGGATTCCGAAGGAGAACTTGTTGCAGTAACAGCAGATGTACAGCAGATGTTTCTACTGCTTCCTTGTACGAATGTGAAGACCACACAGAGACTATACCTGAGGTTCCTATGGTATGAAGACAATGACCTCAACAAAGGTATCATAGAGTAATAGGAATGAAAGTAACATGTGTTTTGGGAACAGGTCCCTCACCAGCTGTCGCTATACTACAACTTGAGACGAGCAGCGCAGCAAGGTGACAGACACAACCCTGAAGCCAAACAAATTTGTTATGAAAAAACTTTTGATGTAGATGATGGACTTGCTTCCTTCTCCAGTAGTGGATGAAGCCATTTGACATATTTGAAAAGCACTAAGACTTGCTAGCAGAATCGTAACATAAGACTGCACAAAGTGGCTTCGCAACAACAGCAAAGTCATGGAAGCATTCCCCAGCAGAAGACCATGCAAAAGACTCAAAGACCTCGATCTCTGGTACAGATTCACCACTCCTTCAAAGAAGCTTAGGGTCTTAGTTGGGGACTTGAAAACTGACAGCTTCACCTTCCGAGTATCCAGGGAAGAGAACCCGTTCACAAAGCGAGGTGTCTTGTCTACGGTCAACCGTCTTTACGATCCCTTGGGTTCGTAGCACCCATCACGCCATGCAAGGCAAAAGCTCTTTTGAGGAGAGATTACAACTGAGTCTAGGACAAGTGATTGGGACACACCTCTACTGAAAAGAAAGAAATGCAGTGAAGTTGTGGAAAGACTCTTTGCTGGAGCTTGAAGCGATTTAGCATCCAAAGACCATACGTCTACTCTGTTTTTCTGTTGTCTGTTAGATACAAAACGAAGAGAGATACACGTGTTTTCAGATGCATTCCACCGTGGCTATATACGCAGCTGTAGCCTACCTTAGAGTCATAGACACTCAGGGACAAAGCCATTGCAGGATTCATCTTGGGAAAGTCCAAACTGGCTCCAAGACCTGCTCACACGGTCCCACGCTTAGAAACTTTGTGCTGCTGTCCTAGCTGTGGAGATAGCAGACTTACTCATTGCAGAACATGGGACATCGAGATCCATGCAGTGAACTTCTACACAGACAGCAAGATTGTTTTAGGTTATATCCACAACGCTTCAAGAAGATTCTACACATACGTGTCAAACAGAGTAACACGTTATCAGAAAGTGTACAAGTCCAGAACAGTGGCATCACATCAGTACAGACAAGAACCCTGCTGGACCATGGGACTGACTTGGTACCAGCTGCTGTCCTCAAACAGACTAACTGGTTCACAGGTCCATCCTTCTTGACTGGACCAGAAACTGAAGAGACTGATCAGAAAGGAACTTTTCAGCTTGTAGAACCAGACCAAGACAAAGAGGTAAGACCTCTAGTTGCAGTTTACAAGACTCTAACCACCAGAGAAGGTCTTGGCTCATGTAGGTTTGAAAGGTTTTCCAGCTGGAAGTCACTCATTCCGTGCCATAGGGAAACTCATCTGCTTGGCCAGATCCTTCAGCAAAACAGCCAGTGTTGACCAGGGTAACAATGACTATCTTGAGCAAGCCAATGTCACCATTATCAGATGTGATATCTTCTGGAAGAGATGGAGACAGGAGTACCTGATGACCCTTCAACCACGCAACAAATGGCAAGCCGACAAGCCCAACTTACAAGTTGGAGATGTTGTTCTACTAAAAGACTTTCAGGCCCACAGGAACGAGTGGCCAATTGGACTCATTGTGGGGACTGATGCTAGTAGTGATAGCAGAGTCAGGAAAGTAGAGGTCAGAGTAGTAAAAACAGGGCACCCCTAAGGTGTACCTTAGACCCATCACGGAAGTCGTTTTACTCCTTCCAAGAGTTTAATAGTGGCATATCATTATTATGCCAGGTGGGGAGTGTGCTGCCTTGTATTACACAAGGCATTCTTTAGCATTCAGCAGTGTCTGTCCCTTTAAGGCTAGGGACGTCCTGTCTGCTAACTTGGGAGGAAGTGACCTCATCTCTTCAGACTGAAGAAATTCTACAATGCAAGTACATGTGGGATGCTGTTCCCTCTTCACATATGGGCTTGATTAGACCCCCAAAGTCTGTAAGTACCCCTCCTATATACTGAGGAATGTTATGTAATATAGCTAGGTAGTTAGATATGTACTCATGTTTGTTTTTTCTGTTTGTATTCCAGTTTTACCGCGCATTTATCCACATTCATCCCGCACATTCATTCATTCTCATTATGTCACATGTTATCAGTAAAAGATCATCGGTTATCAATCATCGACTCTTTACTGTGTGGACATCAAAGGTTATACTGCCTGTAATCCTCTGTAACCATTTCATAACTGCAGAGAAGGCAGGACAATGGTCTTTGATGCTTCTGTGTGTTGCACAGCATCAGGTCCCAGCTCTACAAAGACTAGGCCGATGTGCCCTTTCCTGTGGCTCTTGAGGAGCTATCTCTCATGGAGACAGCCTTATATTCACCACAACACACCAAGCTGTGCACAAGCTTCTTATAGTTTGATGACCCAAAGTAATAGATAGCAGGATCCAGACAACAGTTGATGCTACTACAACTAACAGATAGCATGTAGGCAAAGTACACAGAGTTACCAAATGACTTATCAAAAGTCAGACAATAAATCAAGAGGAGAATATTGGTCGGGCCAAAACAGAAGATATACTCAAAAAGTACCGTGATGCAAAGAGACACGGATCTGGATTTTTTAACGGTGCTTTCAATTTTGGAAGAGCTTAAAGTTCGGATGGTCACGATGTAACAAAATGTTAAAATCAAAAAAGACAGCAAAAAGACAATGGAAATAAAAGTGATGAAATAATACAAGTAAAAATCCATGTGTTTAATATCCAGCATGTCGTAACAAGTTGTAATGTTCAGTTGGTCAATGCGAACAGTTAGATTGATGGTGAAAAGCGGCACAGCGCCGGCGATGGAAACCACCCAGATAAAGAAACAGGTTATCCAGGCTCTGCTCACTCTGCGCCATAAAAGGGACTGCATGGGATAGACCACCGCCAAGAAGCGGTCCACGCTGATACCGGTCATGAGCAGGATGGAGCAGTACATGTTGGAGTAAAATGCGACGGTGATAAATTGGCACATCCCTTCTCCGATCACCCAATCGTTTCCTAAGAATCGATAAGCAATATTGAAAGGCAGCAAGATGACGAAGAGGACATCGGAGATGGCTAAGTTCAACATGAAAACCACTGATGGTGTCTTTGTAGTTCTGAACAGGAATATGATGATCGCTATTACATTGCAAGGCAGTGATACGAGGAATACGACTGTGTAGACTGAAGGGATAAATGTAGTCGACCACCGACTGCTGAAAATAGCTAAAACATCTTCATCTGAATTCACCATGAAGGTCGTGATGTTTTCATTGTCAATTTCTAAATCTAAAGAAAACATCAAACAATTAGGAACTTAACCACAGTAACTGAACATAGCACCAGGACTATGATAAAAACTAAAAAAGACAAAGCACTAGTATACATAATACACCCATAAAAGTTAGAAGTGATGTGAGGTTGTGAGGGACATGATCTCCCAGCATGGTAGAACCTATACCTTTTCCGGTTGGAGGGCACTTTGCCATGTGCTGGCCACTTGGACAGTGGTCAAGATTTGGTAGATTGCCTATACTGTGCACGGTGGTGATACAGCTGAATGCCAAAAAGATATAGAAAAGTGGTGTGTGAGTTTGAGCACACAGGAGAATTCCCTTAATAAAGGACTGTGGAAGTATTTGGACGTGTACTGTGAATCTGCTCTGTTCCGATGAAATTAGGTCGTGGGCAATCAAATTCCTCTGGTTTGCTAGACTTTCCCAACAGTTCTGGACCATCACACAAGTCTACATAATTCATAGGTCATAGAATAGTTCATAGAATAGTACTGGAACATTGCTAGGCTCAGGCACCTGAGGCAAGTAAACATGCCCATGATCTGCAATATTTACCCACTTTCCTAGGTGGAATGACCACCCTCCACCCTTTTGTTAGTGCTTGCATACTTCAGAAGATATTGCCTCCTCAGGTAAGTAATCACTGAGATCAATGATATTGTCAGGGATCGCCGCGGTGCTGGTCCCAGCGCAGGCGCAGTGCGCCACCCTGCACTGGGATACGGGCACTAGGTCCAGACCGGCCCGCAGCGACGAACTCGCGAATGCGCACTAGGGTCCACGGGTGCGTGCCTGGCACCAATGACAGCGCAGGGCGTGATATATAAATCCCCCTGAGCTGTCACAGGTTGCTGTTTGGTCTTTCCTGTTCCCTGATCTGTGTGTACCCTGTATTCTGATACGTTGCTGACCCGGATTGCTCCTGACATTGCTGTACTCTCCTGCCCTGACCCTTGGCTTGCCTGACCTCTCTCCTGGATTCCCCCTGTTGGTTCTGATCTACTGTTGCTGACCTGGCGTGTGACCCGACTATTCTCTGCCTGCTGTTTTGTACCTCGCAGACCCCACGGCTCCCGACTCGGCTCGTTTTGACCCCGCACCTGCTCAGCCATCCATCCCGTCGGGATCACCCGACCTCCTCATATCAGGATTTTACCCTGCGGGAGCCCCTGGCGGACGCCTCTACCACTGGTGAGTGTACCCAGTAGTCACGACCTGGTCTCGGTGCGCTCCAAGTCCATCCCCACCATCAGGGGCCCTGGTGAACAAGTGCTCCGGGACTTAGACTCCACGCTCTGGAAGCACCTGACCAGAGCAGGTGTTTTTGTTGCTGTGATTGGCGAAAGCCTATCACATGACACAGATGGGCTGTGATTGGCCCAGTCTCTACCATGTGATAATGTGTGCAACTCAATTGTATGCAATGGATGGCATGAAAGGAAGCCATCCATTGTTTACAACTGTCATGTGACCTGCTGTGATTGGTTACAGTGGTCACATGATACTGGCAAGGGCCCTGTACACAGATCTGTCATGAGTTGTGTCTCATGGACACAACGAGTGACAGATCTCACCACAGTGCACCTGTGCGGGCACACGCAAGGCGCGTCCTGGGGTGGACAACATATGACATCCACCCGGATCGATGAAAGGCCCACCCGGCCATTATTTTGCTATTGGCCGGGCAAGAACTGTTACAAAGGTTGTAAAATCATTTTTTTTTACCTAATATAAAAAAGACGTTATACAATACTGTGCAATTGAGTTGGGACAAACAGGATATTACAATGAGACAATTTCAAGTTTACAAAACTAATTTATTTACGATCTGTCAGTAATGGACATGGCCTCCCTTAGCTTTAACCCCCTTTACCCTCTTAGGCATTGATGCCACTAATTTTTCACACAAATCCTTCACTTTGGGGTCCCTAAATCACACTTGGAGAACACTTTCTATCAATTAAAATGTTGTTATACAATTCATCTTCCTTATGCTAGCCTTCACAATGGCCCACAGATCTTCTATTGGGTTTACGTCTGGTGAATTTCCTGGCCATTGCAATATTTTTAATTTTTGTTGGGGAAAACAAGTCCTTAATTATCTTGGAACTGTGGCAGGGAGCTAGGTCTTGCTGGAACACTCCATCACCGTCAAGAAACAGCTTCTTCTTAGGTTTTGGGTCAGTTTTGCCATCAGAACACCTATATACTTATTGCTATCCATCATGCCTTCAATGGGGCATATATGCGGCCCCATGGAAAAAAGCCCAGTCCATATACACTTGATAGGAAGGGGTTAGCAGTAATGCACCACCAAAACATGACTTTAGGTGGGTGTTTAGGGGCTTGCTGGATGTGGTCAGTTCAAAGGTGTTCTACAGGTGAGAGCTGAATAACGTTTGACCTGTATCCATGAACATGAAATTGGGTTCATCTGATAATATTACATTCGTCCACTGCTCCAAAGTCCACTCTATACCTCTTTGCCCATAACAATGGCTTCTTCTTTATAGTAGGTGTCAAGAGCTGCTTCTTAACTGGGAGTCTTGCTCTGCGATCATGCGGTGCACAGTGGAAGCATCCACATAACTCCATGAGATGCAAGCTCCCTTTTGATTCCCCCACTTGTCTACTTTGGGTTTATGATGCTAATTCTTCTGCTTAGACCATCATTCCTCAGTTTCTTCCAGTCTGTTTCTTCCACAACATCGTTGGTTCGTATCCCAACAACAGCACCACCTGCCTGGAGTTTGCATGTTCTCCTTGTGCCTGTGTGGGTTTCCTCCGGGTACTCGTTTCCTCCCACACTCCAAAGACATGCTGGTAGGTTAACCCCTTGCCCTCCAGAGGATTTCCCCCCCTTCCTGCCCAGGCCATTTTTCGCATTACAGTGCTGAGTTATTTTAACTGACAATTGCGCGGTCATGCAAAGCTGCACCCAAATTAAATTTATGTCCTTTTTTTCCCACAAATAGAGCTTTCTTTCAGTGGTATTTGGTCACCTGTGCGGTATTTATTTTTTGCGCTATAAAAAAAAAGTCTGACGATTTTGAGAGAAAAAAACAATATTTTTGACTTTTTGCTATCAAATGCATCCAGTAAAAAAATTTTAAAGATCAAATTTCATCATAAATGTAGGCCAAAGATGTATTCTGCTCCATGTTATTGCTAAAAAAAATCCCAATATGTGTAAATTAATTGGTTTACATGAAAGTTATAACGTTTACAAATGGCGGTATAGATACTGGGATTTTTTAATTATTATTTTTACTAATGGCGGCGATCAGCGACTTATATCCCCAGTGACACCAATACAGCGATCAGTGCTAATAAAAAGCTGTACACTGTACAGGGGTGGACTGACCATTTGGAAACTCGGGCACTGCCCGAGGGCCCGGGGTCAGTAGGGGGCCCCATGAGATGCCCCTGGTACCTTTTTCATAGGCTTTTTTGAGTTTGGGCAAGGACACAGGGGCCCCATGAACCCCTATTTCCCGGGGGCCCCATGAGTTGTCAGTCCGCCCCTGACACTGTACTAATGGCACTGGGCAGGAACGGGTTAACATGCGGGGCGATCAGTTTGTTTAAAAACAGTTCTCTCCCCCACATTTGCTGTCCCTTCAAAGTAACTCAACACACCGCCAGTAATGTCTAAACCGCTGGCAACTAAAGTATAAAACATAGATGTAAAAATATATGTGAAAATGACTTTTTATACATTAAAAAAAATCTGAAGAATATATTTAAAAAAATATATTTTTTTAAATATATTCTTCAGATTTTTTTTAAAGTTTTAACATATAATTTTTACATATATTTGTAAATGCATTAGAAAAATGTAGATTTGGAGTTTTTAAAGACATACAGCATATTTGAAATGCATTTTTAAAAAATATATTTTATATATTTTGTAATAAAAATGCATTTCAACATACAGTGTGTGTGTGTGTGTATGTATGTGTGTGTGTGTATATGTGTTTATATATATATATATATATATATATATATATATATATAATTTTTTTTTTTTTTTAAATATATTGAATATAGACAAAATTGTAGCATTTCAAATATATGTTAATATATTTGGGAAGAATATTTTTAAAATAGATTTCAAATATATTTTTCTTCCATATGGGAACCACTTGGGACAAGCATCACTGAGTGGCCCCTTTGAGGGTAGAGCTAAAAACATGGTGCCATCCTAGCCGGGAGAATACTACAAACTCATTGAGAGGGACTAAATATCAGGAAGTGTTACATTGACACATCACTTTGCATCCAAATACATCAAAAAATATCTAATGCTAGCTCCATTTTAAAATTTCTATAAATTCATAGAAAAATATACTCACAGTTTGAATAATTTGAGTCTCCTGAAAAAAGAAAAAAAAAACAAATTTAACTCACAACAAACAGACATGAGGCAATGCGTTGGTGATACTGAAACAGTTATCTATATGACATTAATTAAAACCAATGATCATGGATTATTTTTAGTACGATCATTTTCTACCTTAGACCCTCATCATTGCATATCATTGCAGGTGTTTTGATGGAGATAATTTGGCATATAAATAGATTCAGAAACTAATATTATCTTTACAGCTGCTATTGCTGTGATATTATACAGTCATGTGAAAAATTATGACCCCACGGAACTTGTTAACTTTTTCAACATATTTGAATCAGTAGATATTCATTTAAATGGTGCCTTTAGATAAAGATTAAAAAGTACACCCCTGGCCTCAGAATTGGTTTGGTCCTCTTTAGCTGAAAATACTTCTTATAGGTGCTTTGCATAGCTGCCAACCAGTCCCTGACATCGATTCCATAGAAAATTCCTTCAAGTGCAAAATGTTGGTGGGTTTCCTTGTACGAATGGCCTGTTTTTTAAAACTCCCACCACATTTCAAAGGGATTAAAATAAGGACTCTGACTAGAGCAAGCCATACTA